CAACGCCAGTGTGACTTTATAAGTTGTTTTATCCTTTGTCATGTCTAGCAACACGTCAAAATGGTAAAATTAGGAAATCTTTGAAGTGACAAAGTATAAACCTGCTAAATCAATTTTTGGTTATCTCGAATCATTTGTTTCTTGAATTGAGCTAATTTTCCGCCTTATCTAACAACTTTTAGATGGATTCCAATCCAGACCAACGGTGCACCAAGGATTTTCTCTGCAAACCACAACAGCGCCAACTACAACCTCAATATTCACAAGACCACCAACTACAACATTTGGTGGCTTCACAAGAAGGCAACCAACAAGTTTCATAACAATGCGTATAGCTTCAGAAACTCCACGTATGACTGTAACACAAACACCAATCATTGTACGTACACGACCTTCTACACAGTTTGCCCAGCAGCAACAGCAGATAACACAACAGCAACCCAGTCAGCAATTGTAAGTCTGATGTATATGGTGTGAATCACAATATACACAAACTTCATGGAAACAAACATCCCATTGGCCAACTGCGAAAAAAAGAGTGACAACTACAATTTCTGCCAGACATAACGTTGGCTTTTTTTTTTCAGAATTTGGTGTAGGATATGCAATACACCATGTAAATGCACAAGATGACTAAACTACTTCATTACCGAATTTTATGACTATGTTGTTGTTTCACGTACTTTCAGCACATTCTTCCGACCTGAACAGTCCCAAAGTTCTTTCCGGCAGTCGTTCTCAAATACTATTCAACCTAGGTAATGCTAACTAGACCAAAAGCTCCCACAAAACGTTAAAACTACTTTAATCCCCAATTCTTTCTTATTTCTTAATCCATTTGTTCTTTGCAGACCAAGCCCTGCACCATTTCAATTCAATCGACCAACACGACCAACACCCGATGTACGACGTCCAACGGCTGTGGTACGATGTAAGTCAGAATGTTTGATTACTTACCTAAGAAGACTCCAAACTTCGTATTTTCCCTTGAAGTCTGCTTTGATCGAGATGGCGCTGAGCGTTGTGCTGATTGGATACCATATTGCCGAAGTGAACGATTTTACGCCTATATGAGGTCGTATTGTACAAGGTCATGTGGATTCTGTTGATCTCATTTCAAGATACATTGGAAAATAAATAAACATATATCATTGCTGGCTGTAACTGATGAAACTGCAAGAAGTAGGCCCGAGAAGCAAGCGCATTTCATTAGTTGGAAAGACCATATGCGGAATACTACACACTTGTGACTGTTTAGTGGAACCTGGCTGCGCACACAGTATCCATCTGTTCACAACTTCAAAAACAATACGCAAATAAGATTGACAAAATCATTTATTAACTCTATTGACTATTTCTATATTTGTTCTTGCTATCAACTAAACAAGAAAAAATCTCGACTACGGAGAACACAACAAAATAAAGAAGGGGGCAGATAGGACTACTTCGTCTAACTGATCAATCATAATTCAAGTATAAGCCCACTCCTAACATGATGCCAATTCCATCAGCATGGAGATTGGAAGATCTCTACTCCTTCAATATAACCGCACAAACATAAAATTACTCTAATACACCGGTGAATGACATGTAATCATGATTCTCAACATATGTTTTGAAAACTGGTCTGTGCCCCGCTTTTAGAACACTTCCTGATTCAAAATTTTATCAAAAGCTGAAAGATGATAAAATTCGAATTCTGGCCAGTAAAACAATTTGCATAAATTGAGAACCATGACATCCATGTAGCGCTCAGGGTCACAAGTGGACTAATGTAGGTATGTGGTAA